TCTTGACAATATTGATGCTGGCTTACGACTGCCTGGGGGGGGGGGGGAATAGAGTAGCATTGTACTGATTCAGCATCATAGGCAGTGAGGCAACCAAGCAGGTCGTTTTCACAGTCTGTCCAGTCCTTTTCATAAACAGGGCAATCAACTGAGGAGAGGGAAACAGTTCCAGGACATGTGTTAAGGGAAGGATGAGATAGAACAGGTATAGGTTTGCCAGTGAGGTCAACCAGGGTAGATAGTGCTTTGACTTGTCTCAGATGTAACTGTGAGCGTGAGTGACCTGGACGGCTGCGGAAGAAAACTTTGCCAACTTGTTTTTGGAGGCACTGTTGAAAGAGCACGGTATTATCTGAGTGAGGGACTGTTGGGGGGGAACTATAAAGAATCGGTCCCATTTAGCTGATCTAAACAGATTATTCAAAAAGCCTGAGGAAATTGATTGTAGAGGGAGGAGGAGGGAGTGGTGTGAGGTGAGGTTGCATCATGGATATGCGGACGATAAGGTTGAAGAGTTGTAATAAGGGAGGAGGGGGTAGAATGTGAAGATGATTGTTCAGGAAGTGGGCTGGAAGATGTTGGGAGGGAGGATGGGATATCTTCTAAGGGTTGAGTTGGTACCTGGGTAGGAGATTCAGAATGGGTTAAGTTGGTAGTATGTGTAGAGGTGGGAGGTGTACTAATAGTGTTCTGAGCCGTGGTCAAAGGGGAGTCAGGGGTCGGTAAACTAGAGGAATTACATTCAGAGAGGCTAGTTGATAAAGGGGCAAGCCTCAATGCCCCTAATAAGGGTACAACATCTTCATTACTGGCCATGGTAAGCCTGACCGATGTCGGGAAGGTAAAAAGGGTCCCCACAAGGGGTAAGGGCTAAATAATTTACCAAGGAATACCGTACCCATGGCTCCCTGAGGCCGTTCATGACTGGCACGAGGTCAGCCTTTCATCCTTTCAACACGGCTCTTACATCTTAGGAATTAGAAGCAAAATTAGTTGAGGCAAGCGCCCCCCCCCCCCCCACGACAACGGACCAGATATCGTTTGTTTCTCAAACCTCGCCACCCAACTCCCCTCCAGAAACTCTTGAAGACCTCCACAAAACTTCCTAAAATTTAACCCAAGAGAATACTCTGCTCTCTCATCCACACTCCAATCTCTTTATTCCTATTCCCTGTCCTCCTCCTCAAGTTTCCCCTACCCTCCCTTCCTCCCACTTTCCAGACACACCCCCACACCCCCTCCTCTCCTCCATGGGCATAAATTTGCACCATTCCCTCCTTGTTCTCCATTATCCTTACCTCTCCTGCCTGGATGCTCACATGATTTCCTTATGTGGCAACAATATCCTTCTCGAGATCCTTCCCCACCTGACATTTTTCTTGTCACTTCACCACCCACTTCTCTTATCTCATAGGAGGAGAATAATCAAGAGAATTTCTCCAACAAACCATCTCTACTCCTATTACCCGTTCATTGTTTCATAATGGCTCTTTTGCCAGTTTCCTTATACAGTGTTCCTCTTCCTTCCTCAGACACAGATGCATTGCATTTCACCCATTTGCCATACGCCTATGACCTCATTTACTAGTCCCCACCTTACTTCATTTGCTCTCCCGTCTTTGCCCCATTCACTACCATAGTATTCTGTAATGCTCTATTATCCTTGACATCTAACGCATTTTATCCTAATCATTCATTCATTTTTACCATTTTCGCCACAACTCTTTACCATAGTGTTGTACGACCATTGATGTCCAGTACATTTATTTGTTTCTTTGGATAATGATGGTCTGTCCTATGATTTACTGCTAAAAGTGTTTGTCCTATTTATTTTATTTTCTTGCTGACTATACTATATATGCATCAATGTCAGTATATCCATGTACATGTAGTGTGTAAATGTTGGGATACAATAGCTAGAAGGAAGCAGAGTCCATGAACATAACTCTCTTACGACTTCACTTGCAGATCATCGCTCACCAGCGCTCTTTTGCCAAAGTCAGGAACCCCGTGAAGAAGTCGTCTAGCGTCCGCTGCCCCGACTTGATGCCCATGAAGTCCTTTTCCCATTCCATGATGAACTTGTCGGACTCGGGGTGACTGACTCGGAGCCTCCAGCGCCCTCTTCCGGGAAACGCATTCACGTCGAAAGGATAAATTTATTTCATGTGGTTTCCTTACGGCAGATGTTTTGTTTGTTTCAGTGTTCGGAGAGAGAAGTGAAAGAATGTTGTACTTAGAAGGTAAGAAAATAACTTGATCTTGTGAATGTCGTTCATTCAAGCCACGTGATTCAAACTGAAAAAGTACAAATGTAGATCCTTAATGTAAAATTCATAAAACATTAAATAAACAAGGGATGATATTCGCTGTTTTTTTCAAATTCCATGGCGTTCTTTGTCGACCAGTATAGCAGTAAATTCACTACAGTTTTATTCATAATTTCCACTGATGAAATGAAAGGCACAGACATTTTAAAGGAAAGAGTTGCAATTGTTATGTTTTGCGTCAGACTCCACTCACATCATACACTAAAATATATCTTCCATTTCAATTTTACCGCCTGGTGAGGGATGCTATTATAATGGAAACTTTTTGGTTGATTTACATTTATCCCTCCAGTCCCTTAGGAGACAGAGACTGAGGCCCAATGCTGGGGATCTCCCTTACCTTCGGCCTAAGCCCTCAACTCAGTTTTTTATGGTCTCTACTTCTCCCCTTTTTTCTTTTCCTTACTTCCCCCAATTGCGAAGTTGTGAGAGCCATTAGTACTAGTAAAACTACGTAAAAAAAAAAATCCCATCTTCCTTTGGTCAATCCCATTCTATCAGGAAAGACGCTGGGAAACTGCTCTTGCCCGCTTACGCATTGGACATACTCGCCTCACACATTTTCATCTCGTGTAACGATCCTATCCACCTCTATGCTCCTCATGCAATGTTCCTTTTTTTTCAGTTCCATACATTTACTATCCTGTCCCCCGCTTTACAGCATTCCGTACCTCTGCTTTTCCTCACTTCCCCAATCCATCAACCTGTTGGACAACCGCTCAGAATCCCCTTTTCCCTCCTTCCTCAGACGCATAAATACCGTTATAATTGCCCCATTCCCGTTCCCCTTTGAGCAATTACCTTATACTATATATCATCATCTCCCCCTCCATCTCTCTACTTCTTTTCACTACCACTATCCTCTAGTGCTGTCCCACCTTCAATTTATTACACACTTTACTCAAATCATTGTCATTCCTACCCCTTTCGCCACTATATTTTACCACAGTGCTATATGACATTAATATCTGGCAATATTATATATATATGTATATATTATATATATATATATATAATATATATATATATATATATATATATATATATATATATATATATATATATATATATATATATATATATATATATATATATATATATATTATATATTATATATATATATATATATATATATATATATATATATATATATATAATATATTATATATATATATATATATATATATATATATATATATATATATATATATATATATATTATATATATATATATATATATATATATATATAATATATATATATATATATATTATATATATATATATATATATATAATATATATATATATATATATATATATTATATATATATATATATATATATATATATATATATATATATTATATATATATATGTATATATTTTACCATTATTACGTTGATTGTGACCCGGCATATATATGTGTATATTTAACCAATATTACATTTTTACTCAGATGCTTTTGGCTTTGCCTTTCTCCTTAGGGGCCTACCGTCTATGTTCCCTAAGTTCATTTAGGGTTTGGGAAGCCCATACATATATCCTTACCAAACCACCCCAGTCATGTTCATTGTCGTCGTGTGGGGGCTTAAGAGACGGGAGACTGATGGCCAGGGATCACCCCTACCTGGGGCCTCGGCACTCGACTCAAATTGCATGGTCTTTTTTCACCCCCTTTCCTTTTGCTTCTCGTCTTCATCCCCGTGTGCTGTCCACTTCCTAAGGTGCGAGATCCGCGCAGAAAGGATGAAAGGCTGGCTTTTATCAGTCTTGGTCTTCGTACGCCGTTTGTTGTACCCTCTTTACCTTTTTTCTCACGACCACACTTGCCTACAACGGTCTACAACCTTTGACATCCAACATGTTTTGTCAATCGGAAACTCACTTTTAACCTTTTCGCCACAGTACTTTATCATGGTGCTTTATGAACTTTCCTTACCTGGGGGGGGGTCTCTCGAACTATCGCTATATTTTAAATACACCGCAATGACCTTACATGTCGACGTGGCAGAAACAATTGTTGATAAAAATAATAAACCTTACCAAAGGTACCCGCGGAATTCCTGTTGATACGGTTCAATACTTTCAATTTTAATGCACTGTGGTACTTGATTTTTTCATTAAATCATATGTGTCCCTCATAATTGTGTAGTTGATGCGTGTCATCTGCGAAATCGTAGGGACTGCAGTGTAAAGTCACAGGATATCAAAATGTCACTTTCTCGTAGGCAAAAGTTAACGTATTAAAAACATATTGAAGTGATTTTCATACACCGGCAATCATAGCGACGACCAAAGAAATGAAAACAGAATGAAATAGAACAACAATAAAGGTGATACTTATTACTGTTACGAACAATCACCAGGATTACATAAATATAAATAACCCAAATCTCCATCGCATGACATATTATAATGGTACAAATGAAACAAAGGTTTGCAGTAACGAATGACATCCATCAGTCTTACCATAACTGTTGTTACCGCTGCAATATTTTAATCTACACCAGTTTTGTTAATGTTAACCAGCATCGGGCATCGGCACGGCTCTAAATCCACCCAACACTTACCATTGCAGTATATCCAACCGAAGTAAAGCACTCCCAAGAATTTTCAACACCAAAGTTCTAATCAAAAGCCAGGTTTAGGTAGAAAGAAAACCAACCGAAATACAGGTTTTAGATTTATTTCAAGTCCCTATTTTCAGGGTCTTCTGCCTATCTATAATGACACTGAAAAATGTATCAAAATAGGGTAGTACCCAGGCAGGCAACTCAAACACCGAACAGTCCATGTACATACAGTGCCCTCATCTCATTAGCATATCACCTGAGGCTTTTTAATATTACATCTCGTAGAGAATATACAATAATTAATTTATTAATCCATCCCTTTTTTCTGAAACAACCTAATGAGAACATTATCAAACTTAAAAAAAGGATGAAAAATAAAAAAAGAAAGTTATCCATTGACAGATAGTAAAATAAAAATACTGCAAAACAATTATCACAATAATCATAACACAAACCAAAATAATAACAATAATAACAAACAATGAACATACAATGAGCACTTTCTTCTTTCTTCACTGCGATGATTCTCTCCATTCCTTGACGAGCCATATATATGTTATTTTTTTTTCCTTTCCACTTAATCTTTTTCCTCTTAACTCGAGTTTTCTGTACAAACCAACAAAGCTTTGGAATCGATAACGTTCCGTAGAGTCTATTCAGGTTCCCAACGATGAATGAGACGAAGAGGTGGTCCATCCAATGCAATGAATGACAAAATTACAAATTGTTCATATTGGGGGAAGATTCAAGAACCGTAACAGGGAGCAGCGTTAAGTGGCGTGGTGCGACGTGGTGTATAAGTACATAATTTTTTCCACAACAACAACAACAACAACAACAACGAATAAGAAAAAAAAAGAGAAAAAAAAATATACTGATGATATCCTGAAGTCGCTGTTGAATAACGAATTGGATACAATTATGTTCAACTGAAGCGCAAAAAAGCTCTCGCAAATGAAATATATATATAAAAGAAGAATCGAAAAAGAAAAAAAGACAATCATCTCCCCTTTGTGACTAGCTGTACCAGAACTATGCAACAACCAAACCTTCAAAGTTTTTATTTGTTTATTTATCTATTAACTGCATCTCTTTTTTTTACAGCCGGAATAGAATAAGACGGTAATATGCCTGGCAAATGTGGTTCTGCGAGCGAGTCCACCGATCCTCCTTGACTCGGCCCTCTGGAGGCTCCCTCGAAGCCCTTTTCACTTTAGAAAACACGGATGAAATGAACAAAAAAAAGAAAAGAATTCAGTTGAAGGGCTCGCTTACCCCCTAATACCCCCCAGTCCCCTTTGCTAATGTACTTTTCACTGAAATGAAGTTCTCGTATATACATACTTGAATATTGCTCACTAAATATATAGGTATCTTACGAACCGAAATTACAATCATGACGAAAATAAGAATGATGATCATGATAACATTACTATGACGTATGACTAAGCGGCAAACAGGGCAATTTCCAGCTGCTAAAAAGAAAAAAAAAACTCCATTAACTGAAACCAAAATAATGAACTGAAATACATATAAGAAAACAGTATATTCGTATAAAAAAGACAAAAGTTATCCTTTAACCAAAAATTCATTCCGCTACTCCATAAATGCATTACCTGATGAGTGAGATGCACCATCACCCAGCCAGGACTCCAACCCGTAGACACACGCACACAGTGGTGGTCGACGATGCTCTGGGGAAGGAGCCGCCCGTGGCTTGCGTTTCGCACTTATGAGAGGGGGAGAGGGGGTATGGGATCGTGGGTGGGGCGGGCCGTGTCCTCCATCGAAACACTTGCATATGTGGTTTTATATATAGGTAGAACCCTTCTAAAATTGATTAAAAGCCATTGACGAGTGAAGCCTGGACGAACCGCCGGACGTAAAAGCGGCGGAGCGCCCACATAAAGTGAACCACCTGTTGCGGTTCCTTCCTCCGGCGTGAACAAAAGGGGTGTTCCTGTTGGCTCCCTTCCCTCCCGACCCTCTGGCCCCTGGACGGTCGCTCGGTGACTATTAAGACGTAACTACGGCGACGCGACAGCCATCCTTTCTCTCCTATTGCCGGAAATGTATTGCCTATCTTGACAGCATGTTCAGGCCAGCTTTTTTTTTATATATATGTACAAAATGAATGCATCTTTTTATACCCATTAAAATGCCAGTAATACATATTGCGTGTGAACGAAACTTCGGTATGTACGTGGCTATCTCATTACAGTAAGCGTAAATCCAAAATACTGCAGCCAAATACCCTGCCCACACACGGCGTACCCATGGCACAATCAGCACTGAATTCCTTGCTTTCTAAACCCACAGCCAATTTCTTCCGAGTCAAAAACGCTTGAGCACGGCGCGACAAGAAGCCCGACTCCAGGTTCGCGAGTGTTTTTTTTTTTTGTTTGTTTTGTTTTTTTTTACCCTGAAGGGATTCTCTTTTTTTCTAAGGTTTTTGGATTTCTTAATGCCGAGTCAGAATCCAGACACTGTCTTTATAATTACACTCAGCTATCCGACATCAAAGGTGTTGTTTGACTTGCATTTCTCCATATACAACAACAGTAATTTTGTGTAGGAGCCTTAATTCAACAGGTGGGCACTTCTTGGGCACCAACATAACACGGGGAATACAAAGGCACATAATCAAGTTGCTCACAGAAAATGAGTCATGAACATTTGACTATGAATGTGGAATGTACCCATATACAAACATTGTAGAAAAAAAATTCTATCTGAGTGCATCAAATTAAAAGTGCTTGGTTATGAACTTACTCCTACACACTCGTAAGGTAATTATAAATTTACAAAATATCAAGGATTCTGAGGCACACGCCAAACTTGCTGGAAATGCATTTACCAATAGCTCAGTAACAACAATGGAGTCTGGATACCCAAGTCCCTCTGGAGCACTTTGTTTCAACTATCTGCTTGCTAGGGTGCAACGGGTTCACTATCTTCTTTGGAACACCAAAATGGAACAAACGCCAAGGTGCAGCCTCCACAGTTTCAGGTTTGTCAAAATCTCTCTGTGCATGCGTAAATGTCCCCGTCGGTCGGTCAGTCAGTCGACTAGTTTAGTTGGTCTGCCTGTCAGCCATTCCTCCGCCTAAATCACAAACACACACACACTAAAGGGCCACTTGGCTGCATCTGGAGTGGTTGATTCAGTGCCACTTGCAACGGATGATCAAGTATGGGAAACAAAGAGTACCAATACATTAATAAATAACCCATCTCTCACAGGCATGTCAAGACTTACTTAAAAACAGGAACTCTGAAGGCTTAATTGATTCATAATTTGCAAATACCTAGTGTTTGTGAATATATATATATTAAAACATTCAACCTAGTGTTTGTTTAACAACAAAGCAGGTTCAAAATTATAAAGTATTAATGAGGAGGAAGATTCAAGTAATCAGTGGAAGTTGGAGAACGATGTATGAGTCAACACTCATAATTCGACCTTGGACAAAACCAGCGTGTTCTCTACTCGAAGTCTGTGTAACTGTCAAGACCAACAGTTTTTATCAGCATTTATGTATTACTCTATCACTTGTTCTGCTGCTGCTTGAGGCTCGAGTTATGGAGGCTTGACAGCATACATTTCTGTTTTGAATTTTGATATTCCTGGGTTTAACCAACTCTAAACTGCATCTCACTTTCACCTGGCATTTACATCACTTTCAAGGCCTCGGCACCTTGCACGGCCTTGGTGGCTGGTATGAGCAGTCAGCCTCAGCTGCTGGGAAAGTCCACATGATTATGGTTGGCTGTGGTCGTCGTGGAGGGTGTAGTTATAGTGGTTGAGTCACTAGTAGAGTCATTCACAGAAGTGGAAGCAGTCTGTGGTGGCTTGAAGGCTTGGGCCCTGGGGTAGATGGCATGGCACTGTGCCTTGTAGTGGCTAACTTCCTCAGGGCTGGCACCATACTCTTCAGATTCCAGCCACTCTAACACCCGCTGCAGATTCTGTGGGAGAAATTTAGGCAACTGAGTATAAATAACAAAGCATGCAGTCTTTGGAAATGCTTTCACATTATCTTTACATTACATATTGAAAAAGTACAGTTTCTGACTAATGATGGCTCAAAACTTTAAGGACACAACTTCTCAATGTAATATCATCATGTGGTGTAAACATAAATAGCTAGATGTTGTCTCGAAACACCTATAAAGCGATAAACAAACTTTCCTTCAAGATAACATACCTGATGAGATCTGGCTTTTAAATGGGCGTCAAGATTCGTGGCAATAGAAAAGGCTCGATCACGTTGTATACTATCCAAGAGCACCATAGAACGTGCAGCTGCAAAGACAGACACAAGAATTACAAGAAAAATCATTAGATATAGATTAAAATGAATCTGGGGGAATTCTACTTCATAAACACACCTTTATCAAAGACTATGGGGCTGGAGAGGTCTTGTTCACAAAAGACAAGAAAAAAAAAAGAGAGAGCCCAATCAAACAGAACTAATTTTAAAATTGTCGACTTTTCTATCATATATGTTCATTCTACTCTCTAAAAAGACATCTGAGAAAGCAACTCCCAGTTCTTACCTTGATTTTAATATCCACTTTATGAAAGTCAAGAGTCGCACTTTAAATGAAAGGATGACCTTTTTCAAGTATACCAAAATCAGCCTCACAATTTACTTCACCTTGTAATTTACAATAATTTACTAATAATTTACAATAATAATCACAATAATTTACCTTGTAGCCTATGTGGGAGAGAGTCCTGATTTTTGTTTAAAAAGTCTTCATTGAGCTTGGTAGGGTCTGCTGTGGGCTGGAGGCGGTTCACTTCTTTGTTGATAACGTCTATAATGGGTCCTGTGAGACTGGCCAATTTGTCTTGTCTATAGCGCAAGAACCGTACTAAGCAGGAGTGGAGCTCTGGGTGGTTTTCCTCCAGTTTTAGTGCCCGCTTTAAAGCCTGCGAAGGAGGGGGAGAGGGGGAGCTGGGTTAATATTTTTCTCGGATACCTGCTATCTAAAAAAAAAAAAACTCTCTTGGGACAACATGAGCATGAATTTGGGATATCAGTCACAAAGATCTGCGACCTTGGGGTATCCAAATTTTCAGTTGAAAAT